TTGATTTTGTTCAATAATAAGAATGATAAAAACTCAAAACCCATTGGATTGAAGGCAGCAAAAATAAGCATAGAGCACTGAATCCAACAAGGAGAGCTGTTAATGGGTGTTTTAAATGTTGTAAGACTGAGTTTGAGCTTTCATCCACTTTGAACATATAACTAATTAATTACTCCAATTAATGTTAAACACACAAGATCCAAGAATACTGCCAAAAATGGCACTTTTCATCAACAATCCCTCAAACCCATTTTTTTTTTTCTTAATTATGACTATTTTTGTTTTTTTGTTAGAACAATATAAGGAATCATCAAATGTGATATTAATTTGTCTTTAATTATTTCTAGAATATGAGGGGTTGTTAATTAGATACTAAATAAAATGAAGAAAGAAATTAATTTTGATATTAAAATAAATAATTAATTGATTAAAATTTTGGGATTTAAAATTTTTCCTTTTGGCATGGTTTAAAAATTAATTTAAAAGAGAAAATAATTACAAAGAAAATAAAAAGAGAAAGTCTTTAAGCATAAACGACAGAGATTTGATGACGTGGCTTGAAAGCCCCGTTCGTGCGGTGGACCCCAAATGGGGTGTCTCTGTTTTGTTTTGTTCCTTCTGAAGGTGAAAGATTTTGACTTGCGTTGGATTGGGGTAAATTTTCTACAAGTCGTACGGTAGAGATTAATTTCTCCTGCGTCTCATGTACGGTCAAGATTTCTTCCGTTTTTACCGCCGTCGCCGAGGATTTGGATGACGACAAAACAAAATCTCATCTCATCTCGTCTCCTCTTCTCACGGTCAACAAAAACCAAAATATTGAGATTTTGACTTATCGTGATATATTTAACTCTCCATTTTCTTAAAGCTCCATTTCCTTTCCTTATTTCTTTTATTATTTATATTATTATTATTATTGTCAAAACTTTATTCTAATTCTTTTATTATTAATTTACTTTTATTGCTTGAAATTAAGCCTTAACATAATTTTTAATTTGATAAATAATGTAATAATTAAAATTTAAGATTTGAATTCCTATCCCGTTAATCTTTTTATTTACCAAAAATATATATTTTGCTTTAAGCTCTATATATGAAAATGTTTTTGTTTTCATTTAATTGTTTCTTATGTAAAGCGATAAAAATTTTAACCATTACATTAATTTTTTTTGTACTAGCAAGTTATTTAAGTTACAACCTAATAAGATAAATATCAAATTTTTAGGTTCTTTTAGAAAATAAAATGGGTTTATATATTATGTATATGACAATATATAAATTTTATACACCAACAGCGAGATTAATATGGTTGAGAAATGATTAAAGGAAAAGTGGTTAGTTAATTTGCAGATAAGGTAGAATTAATAGAACATCACATGTTTGTGTTGCAAAAGGGTTAGTTAGGTGTTCTGTTAGGTCATGTTGTCCAAATTATTATGGTTGGAGATCATGACATGTTTCCATACTTCACAATTTTTGTTTCTTTATATATATAAACTACCAGATTCTTTTATATAACAAAAAAGGAAAATTAATATATAATAAAATTAGTAGATAATTAATGAACCAAACAGTATTAAAATAAATATTAAAAAATTTATATTCAATGCATTGTTAGGGTATAGTCATTTAATCACAATGAATAATATTGATTTATATGCTAATTAATGGTGATTGTTTGCTAGACGGTCTTTCCTCCTCTCTATGTGTAGGCGTATGTGGATATATTTTCATATTAAAAATAAATTATTTAATCGTATCAAAAACAAGTTAATAGATGGAATCTAGAAATATCCAAATTTGAAGTTAAGAGAATTATGTGATTTTAGATCCAAAAATGAAAGGAAATGCGCAAAGTGTGTAGACTATCTTTTGGTAGTGGAGGAAAAACACCATAATCCTTCTGAAAGGACACCCTTACACAATTTGGCCATCAAATCAACTTGAAAAGCAAAACTAGAATAGTGAGTGAAAGGGCCGCATATTCCTCAACCCAAGAACAAACAAACAGAAACAAAAGCAAGGCTGCAAGAGAACGAAGGGAAGTGGGAGAGAAAAGGGTTTGAAACTATTTAAGAAGAGAAAAGAAATAAAGGGTTGTTTAGAGGATTTTGGAGGTCGATCAATGTCACAAACAGGGAAAAGAAAATGAAGAAGAAAACCAAGTAAACAAATTTCATCACTTTATGGTCATGGGGATAGTCAAAATACATCATGATGATTGAGGAGGTTGTGTTTTTGATGATCATGGAGAGCAAAGAAAAAGATAATGGGGCTTTCACTATCAACCGAGAAAAAATTGTTCAAACAATGCAATGATGATATGATAATGCAAAATGGCATAAGAATGCGGCCAACCCCACCCACCCTTTTCCACAGGATTTATGGCGTGTTGGATGTGAGTTGATGGTACACAGAGTTTTGACAGAGTTAAAAACTGAGAGAGAAGAAGGGAATCAGGGTCAGCTGTCATAACATGAATGATGTGAAGTAACTTTTTTGCAGCCTCTCTTGATTTGGGAAGTGGGAGCAGAGGATTCGAGGCTTTGATTAAGGAGAGAGATGGTGGACTCAATTTGGGCACGTCGAAATAAGCATACTGATAAGGACAAAAAGCAGACAAAGAAATGATCAGTGGGACAGAGGAAAATAATGGCTACTGATATTGAGGCAAAGCCGTCCCCATCCTCTCCACTTTATAGGTTCATCTATGTAGTTTTACTGCTCCTCATCACATGATTCGGATCGTTTTCAATAATAAATTAATAATCAAAATCAAGCATCTACAAGAAGAGAAGATTAAAGTTCAACCTGAGAATAAGATTAACACCAGTTTCAACCCATCATTAAACTCTGTTCCAAGAAAGGACAAGGAGGCACAACATTGAAGAAATAAACCATGAGAAAACCTGGCAAATATCAAGAAAACACCGCCAGGATGCTGGTTAGCAGGAGATTAATGAATTGACAAAAATGAATAAGCCTCTTATAGAAGGTCAGTTTTATAGAGAGATCAGGACAACCTTTGCATATCTACAGAAAGCTCAGGTATGACTAAATTGATCCCGCGTTGCCAAGGGAAGCAGCTGTATGTAAGTAGAATATTTGTAATCCAGCCAAAAGCTAAGATATCTGCTCAACAAAATGGTAAGATGACAGGATTCTGGGGCAATCAATTGGGAGCGTTGAACCTAAATCCTTAATGTCATAGAATGCGTAATATCAACCGAAAACTCCTACAGCTTCATGGAACCAATTCTATCTTTTGAAGATATGCCGATTTATTGCATCTGACAAAATAAGCAATAGGGTACAGACAGCAGATAACATTAATCACACAACACATTAACATTTATTCTATAGAGCAGCCAATGAAGTGCTAGATATGCATAGTTCAGCAAGTTAACACTGTATTTTATTTTGGTACTTGGCAAGTTTTAACACTGTTTGAACAGCTAAAGAGTTAAAAGTTTGGGTCCCTTAATGGAATACAAAGTATTAAGCTACATATCAAGACTTCTTCACTCCTCGTTGGATCTTCATCATTTTATATGGACATCGAACCTGAAAAAATGAAATTAAAATCTCAGAACCCATTTCCAAGAAACTGCTTAATGTTACTACTGAATTGCAAATGCGTCACAACATGCAAGCTAAATATATTCATGATGGTCTAATAAGATTCAGGGACACATGATCAAACATTAATTATGGTTGAACTGATAAGTACACTACACGTGAGACAACACATCAAACCGGGTTATTCTACACATGATCAAGAATGAGAACTGGCAAAACTGACAAGCCCATCTCAACTCAAAAGCTTCATTGATTTAGATAAAACAGCTGCAGACAAGAAGAAAACAGGACTTTTGACTCTGGAGAACAGTTTCTCCCATCCCTATAAAATGATCACTGCTCTCCAGAAAGGAACCCATTTTGAAATAACATCTCAAAGGCTATGCTTTGAAACTTTCAGTAAACATAACGTGACCATAGAGTTATGGGTCAATCTAATTACAGTATGTTCGAATAATGAGAAAGAGAAGATCCAGGGGAGGGAGACCTTTTCTGTCCCTTCTTTCAGGGGATCCAGAACATAGATTTCCCCACACCACAAAAAAGGCGACCTAGAGGGAAAGGCAAAGGGTTTGAAACTTTCTCCTGTGGTCCAATTTTTAACCCTGCTACTAAAGCACTCCACAAGATAAAAGGTAATGGTAGAAGAGTAAGAATTATGGCTTTGTGACCACCAAGTACAAGCACATTTCCTCAAAAAATGTAGGTCACTACCGTATAGAGTTGTTAAGTACCACTTAATACTTCCCCTTCCTCCACCACAACCAAATGGGAAACAAGAATCCTCTTTGCTCCCTCTCTTGATACATCATTAAACAGCCTCCTCTACCTTGCATTCTCCCTATCTACCACATTCCCTTTTCTCATCTCCCTCCAAATTAACTCCCCACGATAAAATTAACTATGTAAAATTATATGAAATAATTGCAATTTCTCGCACTAAGCCAGCCTAAAACTTAACGGTACTAGTTTGGCCACCCTAAAAACATAGGAATGTACAATAATACAAGCAAAAAAATGATGCAACAAATCACAAAAAATGCAAGCAAGATAGAAATTCGGTGCTGGCTTAGGAGCTTAAATGGCCTAGAAATATAGAGATTTTGGTATAGTATATGTTCATGTTTGATTGCATCATTAGGATATAATAATATAATTTCCACAAAGCTTAGTTTCTTGAAGGCTAAGTAATTAACCCTCTACTTCCAAGGATTCATACAGCCAATACATAATGAAACACACACTAAAAAAACAAAAACCATCTATTGGTAGACTCTAGTCTAAGGTTTACAAATGAAAAGCTCGAATTATTAAAGCTAATATCCATTGAGATATTGAAATAATTGAAAAATAGAAGTTGTTATAAGAAAAAGTACCAGAATTAGGGAAAGGAGGTGAGGGGGGGGCGGGGGGCGGGGGGATCAGTTGTAGTAGAGCTCGAGGCCCATGCCATCGTGAATCTCGTAGTCTTTGAGGGTGATGTGGTCTTTATAGATGGTGTACCACTTCTGGATTCATCTTCTCGGGTCTGGTTCCGGTCTGGGCTGCCACCAGATTCTTAAGGTCTCCGATGGTGTCGTCCTCGTTGCACTTCACCCGCACCTTCTTCCCCAGCCTGTCGTTCAACACCACCTCTATCATCTTCTCCTTCTGCTAACGATTGCTTCTCATTATTATTATCGGGAGAGGAATATTAATATACGACACGTCGGATTCCGGAATTTCTTTAGGGGTATTTTAGTACTTGTCCTGCACGCAAAGATTCTCATGACCAGTGATGCTTCACACGTGGCATTTGGTCCGTGCCATGCAAAATGATTTATTTTAGCTATTTTATTTTCCTGACAAATAATCATTGATCGTTTTATCAATAACATTGCTTTTCGAGATTAATGTTTTAATATAATTAATCAAACTTGTTGAGTATATTGATTAAGTCGGTCAAACATTAAAATTTATAAGATTACTTAATCGATTGAGGTTAACTCAATTAATAATCCAATAAATATAATTTATTTGATCATATTATAATTTCCAAATCGATTAATAAAAGTTTCAATCGAAACCGATCGATTTTAACGGAAACTTGCTCGTCCTAATGATTTATTTCCCTCCTAATGATGATTGCAGTCAAAATCAGTCAAAAAGTTCCAATAAAACTGCAAGAACGGCAGAATCAAGAGACCGAGTGGGTGGGAAGGGGAAAGGGAAGGGGAAGAAGAAGAGAGCTTTCCAGCCATTAAAATTTAAGATTAAAAATATGATTGACTAGGGGGGAAACCCTTAAAAGCAGTAACGGGAAGAAACAAAACCTTGAATGATAAACAACAATAGAGAGTAACAATAAACCACTAATGAACAGTGTAATTAACCATAAGCCAGAGCCTACCGTTCAATCCCCATCTGGAAACAAAATTATACTGTACATTATGAATTTCTTTGCTGCTTCGGCCCCTCTCGTCAACCAAAAATGTGATGTCGTTCTCGGATCCAACTTTCCAGGTTCAGCCACGAGACTTGTTTCTCCGGCGTTACTCCAAAACAGCAACCTCTTGATCGACCCTCCAGTAGTTTGCATCGTTGAACTCCTTCATCCCAGCCCCACCATCGTCGGAGTTCTCCTTTTCTGGTACCTTTGGAATAATGTTCCTCTTCAATGGCCCAGCTTCCCCGACTATTCCTTCTTTCAAAGCTTGTTCCATTGCCTTCTCTGTACCTTCTAATTCCACGCCTACAAATTCAACATCTTCTTCGAACAAAGAGGGCACTGGTGGTGGAGATTTCTCACTTGTATCACTGCTTGCTGATCCGTCACTCAAATCCATGGAATCTGAGGAACCGTTAGGGAGTACGGGTTCCCCATTTGAGGGAGACCCGACATCAGTAATTACTGTCTCAGTATGACTGGGTTGGCTGACATCTAAGCTGTCATCATCAAGAAACGGGTTCTTGCTTGAACCACCCACTTGCAAATCCGAAGATTCTCCCCATCCCACCCACTCAGGTAAAGGCCTACCTCCAAACAAGTCCTCGTTTTCTGGTGTGTCAAACCTGAAGAATCCCATATCGTGAGAAGCATTTGCTCTCTCACCTTGTGGATTCAAGTTTCCACTACTCATGAAATTGTTAAATCCGTTCATCGCACTGGAAGTAGATGTGCCATTCACTGACTGCTTGCTTTCATTCAACTCATCCTCCTCTCCAACTACCACCTCATCATCACTACTGCTGTTACCACCATTTGCGGTGCCATGCAAGTTAATCTCATCCATCACCTCTGTGGGGGATGTGGCCACAGGTGCATTACCGATTCTGTCATCTTGGAATGCAAACCAGTTGGAATTTGTGAAGAGACTGCTGCATTAGAAAAACATAGGCCACAGTCTTCATTAATATGACTACTTTAACAAAAGACCGTAACTGTTGATTTACAATCACATTGGTTGCAGTCTCCATTAAGATGACTACTTCAACAAAAGAACTTAAAACTGTACATTTTTAAAAGCTAAGGCAATTGAAGGTATAAGTAACAAGAAGAAAACTGACCTCCCTTGGTCATCACCAAGCCTCAAGGACGATATGACAACCTCAGCAGATTCATCATCGAAGTATACATCCTGTAAATCCAAAAATACATTTAATATCGATTTAGCATTAAAAAGATGAAAATTTCCAATATGTTTGATGTCTCCATCACTCATGGTGGGTGATCTTAATATGTAATCTTTATGTTACCACCAACGTCCTTCATAGGCAAATATAAACGACAGAGAAAGAATTTGATTATTAATATAGATCAGAGTCACTAACCTCATCATCTCGATTGAAAGCACCATGATCCTGAAAGCAGTTGGATAAAAAAAATTAAGTATAAGCAAATGGGTGGCTTTAAGAAACTGTTATAAGAATTCAAACTACATACTTCTTCATTGTCATCATTCCCATATATTTTGTATCTGAAAGCCTGGCTTAGGTTATTTGCTAAAGCAGCAACATCATAATCTCTATCATGAATATCATCCTCATCACTATCCCTTGTTCTGTCTTGCAATGCTGTTGGGCGGCTGCACACGAGAAGGAAAAATGCATAAGACCTTTTAAATGATTTTTCTGTTAGCTCTCACAACAATGCTGTTGCTGCAAACAGCAATAATGTGCCATAACATGAAATGGACTCAAAAATTGGAATCGTATTTCCATGACGGTAGTAAGTTCTCAATTAGTAGGCATTATATTGAAAAGGAAAGCCATATACACGCTTAAAGCGAAAAAGAGAACTAGAAGTCACATTTTGTAATTAATGTCATCTACAAGTTACAATCTGCTGGAGACAATATACAGCCCAGGAGCAAGCACTCTTACAAATGCCACATCTAGCATGTAGAGAATCTAGAGATAATCAACCTTCAATCACATATCCTACTAATCCGACAGCAATGCATATCAGAAATGAGGTGAGAACATACCCACAAGCCCATCGATAAACATTTTCAACTGTATTCCGTTCTTGCAGAACACTAGATTGCCACTCATTCCATTCGCTATTTTCCTATGATGAATATATGAACTTGTGTCAGCAACTTCAGAAAAGAATTAGTCATAAAGAATCCCAGTAAAATTGCCCTAATGCAAGATATAGATCTAACATTGCCCTAATGCAAGATATAGATCTAACATGCAATTTCAGCCAATGAAAAATATCAGCAATGTGCCAAATAACCCAAAAACTAATTGCGATGAACTTAATTCAGATTTACCATACCACATAAAAAGATTCAGACCCTAATTTCAAGTATAACAGAAGTTGTTAGCTTAAAACTAAAAATGTGCCTAACACCCATAAAATCCTGACAGAAGCACTCACACAACATTAAAACACAATCAATCCCCCACCTGTAGACATGCCTGAATGCGGCTGTTGCTGCTTCCCAACTGTACAAGTTTATTTGAAATACGTGTAATGTGTCCAATGTTTCCTACCCGTGGTGCACATTTTCCAGAAGCAGGTAAAGTTGGCTGTTTGACAAAAAAGGGGTTAAGCTGACTGCATAATCAGGTGGCATTTATAACAGCTTCTACTTCTATTAGTTATACTGCCCGAGAGAAAGATGGACAAAGAACACTATGATTAACTAGTCTACCTGATTACTATCACCAGAAAGAATTGGATTTTTGTCAGCTTGGAGAAATTTCCCGAGCAAATCACATTCATGAAGAAGATGATTCACTATTGAATCATTCTTGCTTTCCAGACATGATAATATTATACTCTCCACATGATGATGTAATGCATTGTTGTACGGATACCTGTATAATTTAAAATAAAGAGACCATGAATCTTAGCCTGCTAACAGAAATGATCCAACACCTTCCTCAAGAAGACATCAAGCACTTTCTTTCTAGATTCGAACTTCCAATAAGTTGTTTTCACTTCATTCCAGATGAAAGTTTCAAGCAAGAACTTACTCAAAGAAAAGATCAAGAACTCGTTGAATGGTCCCTGAGCTGACCAATTCCTTCTCGGCAGCTTCATTGCCAGTTCTTAACAGCACGGCAATGAACTCTACAATCTGAAATAACACAATAAAGTTAGACACGAGTATGCACAAAGTCTGATATATATTGAGCACAAACACCAAATAAATCATACAGGTGACAAGTTACAAAGTCCTCTATGTTGGTTGGCACGCAAAACTCATGCCAAGAATATTAAACAAACCTTTAGACGATGCTTCCCAAGCGGAGGCCTCAATTCTCCATATGTGGTAGGCAAAATTTTCTCATCAGATGACACATTCAAAAGCATGAGTAAGTCACCTGCACAAGAAGTTGTCTTGAACATCATGGCTCAAATTGAAGCCCCAACATGTTACATGCACCTAAGAATATTGAAAAAGTATTACAACATTTTGAGCAAAAGAAATCCGCACTCACCAAGTTTAGGTAGCATTGCATTGATAGTCTCCGAATTTACAGGGATTGGAGGCTCATACATATGTTGATTTCGGAAAGAATGCATCAAGGGAGAAGCAATTGCTGATCTTTTAGGATCCAATAATGAGATACAAACTGAGAGTGAGTGTACAAGGCCAGATTTTGAATGTGAATCTTCCAACGCATGACCAAATATCCTTGCAACAAAGCTGTAAATGAACATACTCAAATTTATAGGCCAAATCACAAACATATACACAATAGAGATTTGAGAGGGTGATGCAGGTAGGAAGGAGACAAGAAGGAACTAGCTATTAAAAACCTTGAACTAGAGAGTTTGGCGGCTAAAGCTGATGGGGCGTTTCGTGTTATTGCACATAATGTTTCTGCTGCATTAGCATGAACCTCAGCAGGACACTGATTATTGTAAAAAACAGGTCGTAAGATAATCATTAGAGAGTATGACAGACAATTGAAAATGTTAAAACAATATTTAGACATGAAAATAATAAAATAGAAAATTCTCACTTACTGATGGATTCAATTTATCCACAATCATTTCCAGCAAATTGCTGTCAGCTAACCATTGCATTACATCCAAAAAGTTGGGATATACATGATCATCAGCTCCAACTAACCGAACCAAAACCTGTGAAAAGGGTCATCTCATATCAATGTTCAACCCAATCTTATCAAATGCCAAACCATAGAGCATGAAAGTAACTAGTGCAGTAAAACAACAGAGAGAAAATCTCAGGTACCTCCATGATGGATGTGATTCCTATCAAATCAACCAGTTGGCGAAACACTTCTTGATGTACCTGTTAATAATCTGC